AATTTTTTTTTACAAGAGTACGGATGCTACGAAAAAGGTAATTTCTAGAACAAGGGAATATTACACTTACATTTCAACATCGTTCCTACAGAAATTTCCTTACTTTAAGTTATCAAAAATGTTAATTGTTTTTAATAGCAATGTCAGTTTTAAGAAAGAAATAATTCAGATTTTACTATCTCGTTTTACAAATAACGAAGATTTTTTGGTAGACTTTTTAATAGCGATTTACAACATTGGTTTTATCGATGTATTCGGACACATACGAGAAGCCCTTTGTGCAAGTTCGTGAGAAATCGAACTCGTTCGCAATCTGCGAGGACGCGACCATAAACTGTATGAGATTGTCAAAGAAACGAGAAGAGAAATACGCGTCCCTAACCTCACCCCGTAAGAAACTCCGAAAAACGATTACCAATGATTCGATTATTAGTTTTAAACCCTTTTGTACGTTTATATGCAGTTAAATGACGTGTACATAATTATGTAAATCAATGTTGTGAGATTAATCCGATTGTAATACCTACACACAAAACCCCATTAGCGGAAGGCATGTGCTTCGAATTATTATCCTTGAAATTTCGTGAGACGATTAAACGGTCCTTTCAAAATGTTTGCTTTCTCAACACTGTCGACTCGTGAAATGCCAATTTCCAATTTTTCTTCCTGTTCTTTGTTACAAGTTTCTTTTTAATTCCATTTTAGACATATTTTCAATAACACGATCTACAGAATAACGTTACCTCCACGACATGACCTAAATAAAAATTATAATACTAATGATGATGTATAAAAGAAAATGAATAAGAGGAAAATAGGATTTGTTCATAAGTCGATAATGCTGAGAATATATTTTTATTATCACCTAGCTGTACCAATAACTCCTATATATCCACCAATTTCCAACAAATAATTTCTATTTATTTACTATAATTTACTTTTTCATTCAAGTGATTATTCAAAAATATAATATTCTATTATGGTTATGTTTACGAAGGTTTGAATCGAAACGATTAAGAGTAACGAATATATTTTTAGATAAATAATCTCCATTTTGTCTGGCACGAATTCGACTAATTATGGACGATGCTGTATATTGCTTTAGAAATGCACATACCTTCGAGGAACGTTCGTTCACTATCCTGCAAGCATCTTCAAAATCAATATCTTTATAAGAAATAGTGAGTGAAAACGCCCCTAAAGTGAAAAATGAAACATGGACTTGTTTCTTCTCCTGCGAAGTCGTATTATATCGTGTTGATACTGCGTCAAATTCGATTGAACGAATATTTCGACGTGTTGCGCGTGCTCGGGAAATTTAAATAATAGGGTACATAGATGGGCGCACGGCTCTCGTTGCACCGGAATGTATTTTTATGCATCGGTGACAGATGTCGCACAAATGCAAAGGCATTATGGCTCTACTTGCATTGACGCGTTGCGCTTGTCCATCGTGAAGATTGCGATTGGCTACAACGAACAGTAGCATAGCCAACTCTAGTATGCAACAGAGATGTCAGACGGAGCACCGGGTGCACCGGCACACCTCATTCCACTCTCTCACACTATGCCAGATCACGCATACGTGAGCTCGTAGAGTTTCGGGAAGTCGACAAAGGCAAACTGACACATGCTCTCTTTCTCCATTCTCCGAAGGTACCCGAAGCAATTTCGGACCGCCTCGTGGGAGTCGAGAGAGAAAGGCTCACATTTGCCTCCTAGCTCTTGAACAACTAACATCCGACCTCCCGTCAACGCCATTCGATTTGGAATCCTGAATCGACATTCTCCACTGCACAAAACAAAATTTTGTGAAATTCTTTTTACGGGAATACACGTTTTAAAACCCCCTGATCATATTTTAAATATTGAAATAATAGAAATTTTTTTTATTATTCCTATTTATGAGCGTACATATGTATATCTTTTCAGATATCACTTCTGCAACATCTGGCAATGTATAACCATTACTGCCGGCTACTGCCAGCCTCTCACAGCCTCTGCTGGCTTCTGCTGGCCTCTGCTAACCTCTGCCAACATGTGCGGGCTTCTGCCTGCCTCTGCTGGCCCCTGCTGACCACTGCTGACCACACCTGATACATCCGACAACGTATAACGATTACTACTGCTTACTGCTAGCCTCTCCCAGCCTCTGTTGGCCTCTCCTGACCTCCGCTTATATTTCTGACGACGTATAACGATTACAACTTGCCACTGCTTGCCCCTGCTGGTCTCCGCTTGCCACTCCTTGCCACTGCTGGCATCCGCTGGCCTCCGCTTATATTTCTGACAACGTATAACGATTACTACTGACTTCTGCCAACCTTAGCTGGACTCTGCTGACCGCTGCTGACCTTTCCTGGTATTTCTGACAACGTATAACGATTACGACTGGCTACTGCTTGCCGCTGCTTGTCACTGCTTGCCACTGCTGGTCTCTGCTGTCCACGGCTAGCCTCCGCTGGCCTCTGCTGACCACCCCTGATGCTTCTGACAACGTATATGTTAGAAGAATCTTTTTACGATCCGCGTTTTACCAAGGTTCTGGGGTAAGTGCCGTGGGGTTCATCACAGTCCTCTTACCAAAAGGCAAAGCCTTCCCCACTCCGTGGCCAGATCCTTCTAGAAAATCCTTATCGTACTACACGTGTCGTACAGCACCATGACTTCGGGTCATCGGCCACACGCACGGTACCTTCCGAGAATCGACGATGGGGCTCCCTATCGCCGACATATAAACAAAACATCCGCGACTCCTAGAATTCGTCGCGCCTCGAGTGGGCCAAGTCTGATGACAGACTTATGGTTCCGGTATCGATACCTACGATACTCTTGAGAATCTGGTCATAGCCTCAAATGCATTGACCCTGACACGTGTCACCCCTTGAAAAAGGAATTGACGCTAACATATAACTATTACTACTTGTTACTGCTGGTCTCTGCATGCCTCTGCATCCCTCTGCTGGCCTCTGTTGGCCCCTGCCGACCACTGCTGACCACTGCTGACCTTTGTTATCAACTTCCGACATGATGTATAAGTATTCAATCCTTGTATAATGTAAATCTATGGCAATAAATGATATAATTTAACAGAATTCTATGTGTTCCAATCATTTTTACCTTTCTTTTCCTCTCCAAACCATTCCCTTAGTTTTAAGAGACCGTTTTTCCGGTTAAAATTGGATTCCCAAAGTGTCCAGGTCTCGTACTTGCTGCCAAAATCAAAAATTAACTTTTAAATTTTTTTTCTGTAACCGTCACTCTCGTACCTGTTGGCAAAATCGAGAATTCATTTTTTTCGTCAAAAAATTTTTGCTCGAAAATTTCGCCGATTTCCCAAAATGTCCTGAAACAACTGGGAAGTCCTGAAACAGCTGGAAAGTCCTGAAACATCTGGAAAGACCTGAAACAACTGGGAAGCCCTGAAACAGCTGGAAAGCCCTGGAATTTCTTGGAAGCGCCGAAAATTCTTTGAAACCCTGAATTTTTAGCAAAGTTCTGAGTTTCAGGACTTCCTAGTGGGTTCAGGGAAACCAAGGAGTTTCAGGGAGTCTTATAACTAAGGTAATGATTTGGAGAGGAAAGGAAAGGTAAAAAATGATGAGAACACATATAATTCTTTGTAATTATATCATTTATTGTCATAGATTTACATTATACAATGTTTTAATACATATATATCATGGAAGAAGTTATAACAAGGGTCAACAGTGGTCAGCAGTGGTCAGCAGAGGTCAGCAATGGTCAGCAGGGGTCAGTAGGGGTCAGTAGGGGACAGCAGAGGCTTGCAGAGGCAAGCAGAGATCAGCAGGGGCAAGCAGTAACATGTAGTAATCGTCACACGTTGTCGGAAGCATCGGTAGTGGTCAGCAGAGGCCAGCGGAGGCCAGCGGATGCCAGCAGTGGCAAGGAGTGGCAAGCAGAGACCAGTAGGGGCAAGCAGTGGCAAGTTGTAATCGTTATACGTCGTCAGAAATATAAGCGAAGGTCAGGAGAGGCCAACAGAGGCTGGGAGAGGCTGGCAGTAACCAGTAGTAATCGTTATACGTTGTCGGAAGTATCAGGTGTGGTCAGCAGTGGTCATCAGGGGCCAGCAGAGGCAGGCAGAAGCCCGCACATGTTGGCAGAGGTTAGCAGAGGCCAGCAGAAGCCAGCAGAGGCTGTGAGAGGCTGGCAGTAGCCGGCAGTAATGGTTATACATTGCCAGATGTAGCAGAAGTGATATCTGAAATGATATACATATGTACGCTCATAAATAGGAATAATAAAAAAAATTTCTTTTATTTCAATATTTAAAATATGATCAGGGGGTTTTAAAACGTGTATTCCCGTAAAAAGAATTTCACAAAATTTTGTTTTGTGCAGTGGAGAATGTCGATTCAGGATTTCAAATCGAATGGCGTTGACGGGAGGTCGGATGTTAGTTGTTCAAGAGCTAGGAGGCAAATGTGAGCCTTTCTCTCTCGACTCCCACGAGGCGGTCCGAAATTACTTCGGGTAGCTTCGGAGAATGGAGAAAGAGAGCATGTGTCAGTTTGCCTTTGTCGACTTCCCGAAACTCTACGAACTCACGTACGCATGATCTGGCATAGTGTAAGTAGTGCACTCGATGCTCAATCTGGCATCACTGATATGCACTAGCTATGCTGTCGAGAAACAGAAAATTGCGAGAGTCTGATTTTACACTTGATAGAAAGAATACACAGCATTTGTGCGTTTTTGTCTATCCAGTGCAAAATCGGACTCTCGCTTAGCATAACTCTTACTAGAGTCGTCTGTGACATTAGTAGTTCATAGAAATAGTATTATATATTTAAGTATAATTTATTTCACTCGGAAGAAAACGGCGCCGAATAGATAAAATTGTTATTTTATATTTTTTATTTGTCGCTCACATTTTGAATATACAGTGAACTTAAGCTTTCATAAAAATGTAGCCAAAAATTAGAATTACCCACAATGCACGCGACATTTGGCGGTTAAATGTTCAAAAAGACACAAGAGCGGTTAACCTAAAACGTGACACTCTCGTGTCTTCGATAAAATGTCAAACATGAATGGAATATCGGCGGTGCACGTTAAAAAATTAAGTAAATACATACTATCTTATCCTTTTGTCGAACACGGCGAACAAAAAATAAAAAATGCATTGAATTTTTCTTAGGTCACAATCTCGAAGAAATACGATCGAGAGCTTTAGATAATATTATTTCAAAATACAATCTTGGATTTGGTTGTGATTGCGATGCCTTGAAAAAAGAATTGATAACGAAACTATTCAACTGGTTTTCGTTTGAATCCTTGTCACAGACGCAAACGGTTTTAGATTTATTGCTTCGTCTGTTACAGGTATCTATTATGCGTTCTGAATATTTCGTATATTGCACTTGATTAGAATAAAATAAAATAAACGTTGTTGATTATGTTATATATTATAAGACGGGCGATAGAAGTTACTTAAATGCATTTGGTAAATTGAGATTTCAAAATGAACTTCATGAATTAAGGAGGAAGCTGGGTTCAGAATGGTATGAAAAATTAAATGAAATTGAAGAAGCTGTTATTAATGATGACAGATTACAAATGACAGTGGCAGATATTGAGAGTTCAAAGGTTTACAATATAAAAATATTGATACATTATATGATACATGATATATTTGTTTATGAATAAAAAATATAATTTATATTTAAGAATCCAAGCACATTAAGAATGGGATTTATTGATTATGATAAACATAGAACACGAATAAAAGACCATGAATTAGATGGCTTTAAAACGCATAGATTGGAGGATCGTAATATGTCAAGTAGTGTGCTAACTCTTCCTTCGGCTTTAGACAGGTAAATGTAATTACATAACATCTTGATACCTTTTGTGAATTCTTTGACTTAAGAGAGTGTAACAATTTTCTTCTCTTCGAACAGTTTTGAGTTTTATTTTGTTCATGTTATTGCCATCATTACTATTATTGTGTTACTGTTTCTTTTTAGAAATACAGTGAAACCTCTGTATCAAACGAAGCATTATAGAATGATTACAGAAGTATTAAAACCTTTGCAATACCGTTATACCTGGCTAAACAGCAGGAAACAACTTTCAATCGCTATATCTTTATAAAAGTTTCCTGCAAAAGAATCTTCTACCACTGGGATTCCTCAACCATCAATGTCCTCAATGAACCAGAGTCATCCAAAATAAATGATCCTTTTGATGATTAAAGTACAATAAACATTGTAAAGAGATATTCAAATAATATTATGTTAAATTATTTATTTTATTACTAATTATTTTTATTATCGATTACTTTGTTATATTTTATATAGTGTTATACATATACGTATGTAGTATAGTATATACAATAAATTACATATAGGGTTCACTGTTATCCGCGGAAAGACTTGGAACCGACCCCCTCGCGGGTATGAAGGTTTCACTGTATCATAATTAACAGTAATAAGGCATCTAAAATGAGAACACATTATTACAAAGACTGTACCAATAGATGTATTATCTTTTGCTTTAAAATATATTATGTTGATTTAAATTTTCTAAAAATAGTAATGTTTCAATGCACCACCTTGCCCCCTAATATAATAAAAATTTCACGCTACTGTGCACCTCATTTTGTGCTATTAAAGCGGATAAAAATTTGATATAAATAAGTAAAAAGCTCTAGCTTCGTCTCTGAACAAATATTTTCTAATATTTGTGGTTTACAGTTCCATACCGTTTGATTTAACATTGGAATGTGGAGATGGGACCCCAATATCCAAGGCTACCGAAGGTGGTATCAAATGGTTGGTAATGCCATGGCAGGCGCTAGTCACTTCTGACAAAGGTGTTTTAGCAGCGGTCGAAGAAGCCCTGAACAACAATTTAGACACAAATCTCATATTGCATACGTGTCAGTTTATAACGAACGTAATGATGCAAGATTTCCCAGCGGAAGTTTTCCTCCAAAGACCAGCGATAGTCTCGGTACTTGAGATTGCACATTTTTCATGTTTAAAATGAACCAGTACATAATAATACAAAATCTAATTTCAGATACTGCTCAATCTTTTGGATGCAAGTGCAAATACCTCGGATATTAATCTTAGAAACATCGTACCGATGGTTTTAAAAACACTTCACAAACTAACACGATCCTTGAGACTAAGGATTTATTACTATTGCGAACCATGTATCGCAAATAAGAAACAAAAAGTAAATGAATGTATTTACCATGTAACTATGATTCGATTTACTAACAAAAATTATACTTTTTAGTTATTAGCGGGGAAATTAAACAGCAATGCTTATTCATCTTCTGAGACCCGGGATAGCCCTGATGGAGGATTCTTAGAAGCTAATTATCAAGCATATCAATCTACCGTATGTACTACGTGAAAAATGGAAAATTATTTACGATTTTTAACATTGTATGTTCCATTCAGGGTACAAGCGAGAGGAGCCAAAGCGCAACAGATAACATCGACGATTCAATTTTACAATTGCAACAGATGCTCGTACCAACCTTTTGCGTCGAGTCTTTGAGACATGTTATATCTCAGCTAAGCATTCCCGTGAACTCGACATTTCCATTAAGAAACATAAAGTATATTACCGACTTGGCGTACGAACTGGTGCAATTACTTATTACAAGCGTTATGCCAAACATTTGGCTTTGCAATGACAACATGGCCTTAAAAGTGACCGAAGATATGAAAACGTTATTCGGCATCTTAGGAGATGTTGTACAATATTTTGAAAGTTACAGCACGATGGATCATTTTAGGATAACGTATCTGCATCTTATAACTATTACAATGAAACTTTTGAGTAACATTGTCCCTTTAGAAATAGCAGACGTTGTATTTCCTATGTCGCTTAAGACATCTATATGTATAGCTATAATGGATGCCCCTATTTATTTCTTATATCCAAACTTGCACTCTGTGTTGCAAGAATATGGCCGTGTACGTAATTTCTAATTTGTTCTAGTTTGTAAAATAATTACATGCACATGTCGTCAATCGCTTCTTTTTAACAGCAATTTCAAGGCAATGACGAAATTGGATACATAAAAATGTTCGACGAAACGAGAACGATAGCAAAATCAATGAAAGCGGCTATATTAGTGATAAAGGATTCACCAAGCTTGTCTCATTCGGACATGTTGAAAACGTTATACACGTCGAAATTAAGTTTATCTTATCATAAAAATTTTTACATTATTAAGAAGACCATCAGATTTCTACAAAACATAAATAGGTATGTACCTTTATAAATAAAGGAATCTTTGATTATTCAAAACATACCGAATGATAACGACATCGTCTGTTTAAAATATTTAAGATACTCCCCGAATAACGAAGATCGTACATTAGCCACAAAACTAGTGTTGAGCTTATTGGCAAATGGAGATACCGACGTGCAATATGCGATGTATCTGGAATGCTTTACGCTAGTTAAAAACATTCTAGGTGTAGACTATAATATTGAGAAACTATCTTGGGAAAATTTACTATTCCTATTCGAATCATCTATTTTGACTGAAATAATTTCTTATGGTGTGACGAACGATGATAAAAGGGTGAGTTAAAATTTTGCAAACGTTTAATACAACAGAATTTAACAAGGACTACTTACGTTTATGTTAGATAAAAGAAATGTCGGAAGATATGCTAGTTTATATATTAAAAGGAAGAGTTCCAATGGGAGAGAGCGGTTGGTTGACATCATTAGAAGCAATTGTACCAGTCTTGCCTCTTTTGCAATGCCATTGTCATTCTTCCACAGATTTAGGCCAGTGTGTGACAAAAATCTTTGATCCTGATATTTCTTCCAACATACAGTTACCATATATCGAGGTAATATACAGGGTGTTCGGCCACCCCTGGGAAAATTTTAATGAGAGGTTCTAGAAGCCAAAATAAGACGAAAATCAAGAATACCAATTTGTTGATGGAGGCTTCGTTAAAAAGTTATTAACAATTAAATTGAAAAATTTCAAATCGTTCTGGAAAAATTATTTTCGATTACGGGGGTCAATTACGATCATTTTTGGTGAACACACATACCTCCGAAATCCTATCCACTTTCGAGAAAAAAATTCGAGAAGGTGTGAAATTTTTCGACAGGAAAAAAAAATTTCAAATTGTTTTGAAAAAATTATTCTCGGTTGCGGGAGACATTTACAATCATTTTTGGTGAATAGACATACCCCCGAAATCCTACCCACTTTCTAGAAAAAAATTCGAGAAGGTGTGAAATTTTTCGACAGGAAAAAAAAAATTTCGAATCGTTTTGAAAAAATTATTTTCGGTTACGGGGGTCAATTGCAATCATTTTTGGTGAATAGACATACCCCCGAAATCCTGCGCATTTTCGAGAAAAAAATTCAGTACTGGCGGAACTTTAAATGTTAATAACTTTTTAACAAAGCCTCCATCACCAATTTTGTATTCTTGATTTTCGTCTTACTTTGGCGTCCAGAATTCCCTATTAAAATTTTTCCCAGGGTTGGCTGGACACCCTGTATGTACACTGCAAAAATAATAATTACGTTTTTTGTATAATTAGTTAAACATACTGAAGTACGTATTTTTATGTAAAAGGTATTGAAAGGGAATTTAAGATATCTATTCTCGCCGGATATCAATGTCAGAGAAGAAGCTGTTTGTCGATTGATCTGGCTTCTTGGAAAAGAAAAGGATTCGGTTCAAAAATTGCCACGTTTATCGTCTCTGCATGGTTTACCTCTGAGCTCACTTTGTATACTCGAATATCAAACGTCTACGAAAAAATCAGAAAGCAATTATCAGGTTGGATACTTTTAGATAAAGTGGAGACAAAGTGATCCAAAAACGGATCATCTCGATAACTCATTAACTTTTGGCGATAGACAAAAATGCTTCGCACGAATTTTGCTTGTGTTACCATCAAAAGATTGTCCCCCATTGTTCAACTTTGTCCTGTATCAATTTTTTGTATCTTCTCTTGAAAATGAGCTACACCGTGCCCCAGTTTCTAAAATCACCCAGTATTGACATTTACAAATTCATGAATATATATTACTACATTATAAAGAACTTTACACGTACAATGCATATAGGAAGTATTTTTTCACAGAGGAGTAATTTATTATCTGTACTGGAGATGCTGCGCGAGCCCAATATTGATCCAAAGATACGGAAATCTGCATTAGTTCAAATTAGCGTTATGATGTCAGATAGCTCTCTACATAAATTATTTATTAACGAGAATGGATTGCCTCTAATTTTGAAGATATTTAACAGTGCTTTGGTAAATTTCATTGTACTTAGATTACGAAGTGAAGTTAATAAATGTAATAAATAATTGGAATCAATTTTTAGTTGGAAAAAGATTATATCAATTATCCAGATTCTGTGATTCCAATAATCGCTATATTAAACTTATTAGCATCTACTGAAAGCTCTATACGCCATGATCTATCCACTCGTATAAACGTTCTTTCAAATATAATAAGAAGTACGTATAACAAAAGTACAAAAACGATTAACAGTTATTTAATTAAGTCGTTTAATAAATAAATACTTCTTAGGTCTTTTTTTATTTCCAAACAACGAATGTATTAGGACCGATGGCTCGCAACTTTTATGTTTGCTGCTTTATAACGAGTACATTATGAGACAGAGTGAAAAATATACAGAGAATTATAATCAGTTGAATATCTCGTTACCTTATATTATTTTATCCAAAATGAGATTACCGTTCTCCTGTAAATCTCATTGGAAAATAAGTACACACAGACGATCAGATATATCTGGTAAATAAATATTTAATATTTTATTTTGTTATCCTTAGACTAATGTATTATTATGAAGAATTAATTGCAACATTTCTCTTTACGTTTTATAGTTCTTCATAGTACCAATCCATTGGCGTTAACGTTCATCAAACAGTATTGGATATGGGAATGGAACGATGGTTTAAATGTACTTTGGAAAAGTTGGAACGATCTCCATGACTGTGACATATCAGAAAAGTTGAAAATTCAAGAGAACGAATTTTGGTCTCTACGTTTCAGCTTCCCTCACTATTATTGCCAACAACAATTGTACAACGTGCAAAATTCAATCACACACGACTCTGTTTCATGTGCACTTGATTATCTCACGATGTAAATATTATCTTATATTTTGTTTTTTATAAAAAAAAAATTACTTAGGATGTGTGTAATTTTTACAGGTACCTAAAATTTTACAAAATGCAACAATACGAAGAAATAAAGGACATAAATTTGCTACCATGGGAACGAACGTTCGAACGATTCTTGCTCTCCCATCCTGCAAACAAAGAAGACCGTGATCTGTTTGTTGAAGTTCTAAACTTTCTACAGATTTATGTTAACATTACTAAAAATGGTACGTATGTAGTCTACTATTTATAATACAATGAAACTATATTTATTATCCTTTTGTAATAATCAGGGAAAGGTACATGGACCAGCAAGATAATGAAGAATATAACGAAATCATTAGCAGAATTGTTTAAAACTTCCGAGCTGGATAATCAAGATGTGCATCAGTCTATATTGAAATTAGCGCGGACATGTTCAGCTGTAGAGAAAACTAAAAAGTCTTCCGACGAAGACCAAGAAATTTGGCTCCACTTTATCGAACTCGTTGTTTCTACTTTATGCTTCGGAGACCAACAGCATTTTTATAATTTAGGTGAATTTTTTTTCCACGGGATCAAAATTCTTTCCATCCAATTTTTTAGTCTCATCAAAATTCATGAATTCTTGCCAAAATATTGCTTTACACCTTGTCCTAAAGATTCATTTTCAGCTACATAGTATAAATAACGTTATGTATACGTGGATGACGTGAGAATCGACGTATTAAATATAAAATAAATTTTTATTTATCACAGCATATCTTGACTGGCTGCTGACATGCCTGACGTATTTAATCGAGAAATGTCATTGGGCAAATCATAAAAATTTATTAATATCGTTGGGGAACACGTTAATCGAATTAATCATATCATTCCACGGAGCTGGAACTGTTAGTTTCATGGGTCTATCCATAACAAGAAACTCCATAATATGCCTCAATCACTTGTTATACCAGATGCAAATAAATGTTAATAGAAATGTAAGAACATGCAATTCAGTATTTTCATCCACTATGGCGTGTAATTAATTCATACTATAAAGTTCGTAATTTGTCCACAGGCTTTTGCAGCATTTTGGTACGAGGAAGGTCGCACATTGAACTGGTTGCCCATGCTATGGCAAAATCGGGATCCTTTGGTTCGAGCATCGGCTTTGCAATTGTTAGCAGGGTTGATAAATAATTTGCACACGGCCTCTCAACTTTTAAATACCATAGTATTAGCACCTAGTGAACTTTGTCAGACTTTGCTTCAATGTATTTCTAGCAGAGAAGAGTCATGTATAGTCAGGGAACAGGCATGCATTGCGTTCAGCAATTTGGTGAAAAATTGCAATTCCATGACTTTTCAGTATGTAAGTAAACATTAAATTATTTATTTTTTTATGTACAGAGCTTGTTAAAATCGATGAACTAAATGAACTGAATTAATTTTGACAATTGTGTTGCAATGTTTATTGATTTAGGTGGACTCTTTGAGAGCAAATGCTATTTTAATTTATGTGGAGCAGAACAACACTTACTACGAAATTAGTATTTTATGTTCCAATATTTATATGTATACTACCCTGGATTGCGATCAAATGGATAGTCGAGAACAGGAAAACGAAAATGCACCGTCCGTTCATAGTATGCAGTCAGGTTGTACGTCATTAGTACCACGGACTATTTCATATTTGTATAATTGTCAGGATGAATTACAACCTAGTACGTACAATTTTCGTTAATGTTTTACTCCGTTTGTACATATCGTTAAAATTATGTTTCTTGTTAAATGAAGTGCTTCACAAGCATTATAGATATACATATTTAGTTTCAGTTAGAGGATCAGGGACCACGGATATGGATAATTATTTGCAGTTGGTCGTAACACCGCCTCTGATAACAGCTGTTTGCAGATTGCTAAATAATTTGATATTCATAGGCAAACAGGAAATTGTTCATCAAATTTATGAACACTCTATAGATAAATATTTGATTGGGTAAGTGCAAGAACAGGAAATGCAATCACAAAAATAATTGTAAAGTTGTTCTTTCTTACAAGCGTACAATTTTTCAGATGTATCAACGAGGTTCCCAAAGATACCAAAGACAGCAAAAAGGATTTTACACATTATTGCGATGTATTGGAAATGTACATCAGCATTTGTACAGTTTTAACGAATTGTGTCATGTACGGTAACGAATATACTTCCGCTATTAATTTTTCATCGGACTCGCTTTATGGTCTGCTCTACTTCCTGAACAGTGACCTATATCGTAAGTTGAAAATTAAAAAGAAAAAGGAACGGAGCGGTGATTACTGTTTTATGTACATTTTGGGAGAAAAATAATTACAATTGAATTTACGTAGGTACTGACACAGCAGAATTTGTGTCTTTGAGGAACAGACTCTGGACAGAGAGCTTCAACTTCATAGCTGTTCTCTCGTTAACCGACAATCAACATTTCGAATCGGTACAAACGGCTCTGGAATCATGTGGCCCAGAAGCAATACTTTCGTCCATTTGTATTGCAATGAGAGACTCAAACGTGGAGCTTCGTATGAGCGCTATAGGCTGTCTGGCATTTTTCCTTTCGCTGGAAATCCAGAAAGATTCTTTGGGAAAGAGTAACATCTCGCTGCAGACAGTAATGGACAACACGTTGATACGAACGTCGAGCGACAACAGAAATAACTTGAGGGAAGTTATATCGAACATTAATAAGCTCTCGCTGCGAAGCGCGAGTGCGCATTCGAGGAAATCGAACGAAAACGAGGACGTTGTTATAATTTACGACAATGCACTGGATCTTGAAGTCGAGAAAGAAGTCGCGATCGGCGAAGAACTATGCAGCGTTCTGTTGTATCTATTTATCGCCCACAATTACAACAGATCAAAAAAGAACCGTAAATTAACCGAGGACAAGGACTTGATCACAAGTGCGCTTACTAATTTGCTGTGCGTGTCCAGTGCAGCTAAGAAATTCGCGCTCGAGGAACATTTACCGGAAACAACGTTAATGATACTAAAAGAATTATACGTTAGATTAAATTTACAACCATTCGAGCTGTTCAAGAATCAAATAGATCGCGAAAGAAAGGTATATGATACGAAGTCATAATATTCCACGGTTCATTAACCTCTTCACGCCCTTGGCCACATATGTGGATGTTTAGTACTTTTTTTTTTTTATAATTATAGTTACTGTCAATAATAAATAGACCAAAACGTCCCTGGAGAGGTTAAAAGACCATAGTTCGCCAACGGTTCGAAATAAAACGGGCTGGTGACCTCTGTGTCGGCCATTTTGGTATTTCATTCTGTACTGTCACTGTACTGTTTCAATATGCAAAACTGGGAATTTCCAATGTATTAATTATCAATTGAGCTAGCGAACATCGCGCATTCGTATCAGACGGAATTTCCAATAGCATCTGTATGCTATATGGTAAAAAGTCTTCCTTATTTTTTTTTTGTAGATCCCCCCATTACTGCACGACGTAAATGGGATTTTTATATTATTGATGAATTTCATGTATGGGAGTACACAAGTGAAAGAGATATTAACGAAATACGGATTAGCAGATGTATTGCACAAATTGTGGGTCTGGATTGCATTAAATAATATTGTTGCGACGACTACCTTGAAATTACTTGCAACCTATACTACCAAATGTTCTGCAGGTATGGTAACTACGATTAATTTTTAATTGCAAGTTGTTGGATCGAGGAAATCATTAGGCTGACTATTCATATTTATTAATACGTATTTTGTAGCGGCGCAATCGTTGACATTGACTACTATCTTGCCAGGCACGGGGCTTAGAAAGACTCCTAATACTCTGGCTCTGATCCACGTTATCATACAATTAGTTTGCAAGGAAATAGACAAGGCTGGACAACTCTTTGATAATCACAAGTTACATTTCGCGTTTCATGTTCTGCGAAATGCAGTACACGTGCACGAATGTAGGGTGTCGATTTCCAAGGTAAACGTGTGCTTCTTAAACATAAAATACAACTTAATAATATTTTCTAATCAAGTGAAATTTTGTAGAGTAATCTCCTACAGTTTTTTACAAAAATACATCCTATTACCACAAAAAGGATAAAGCCCTGGCCACTAGTCGAATTGTACTGTTTGGAATTCTTAATTGACTTCACTTATTACGAGGAGGGTCAATTATGTGTACCAAAGGTAAGCACTGAATGAAATGTCTAAAGAGCACTTTAAACATTTTATTTATTACAGTACTGTAAATAATTTTTTATTATTTTAATCTCTAATAAATTCTTCAGGCTGTCGACGGTCTGGACGTTCTATTGCAATTATCGAAATGTTCTTCGTCGTCTAGCAGAATTCTTGCAATTTCTATATTGCGCAATCTGTCGTTCAATATGACGAATAGACCGAGATTGCTTAGCTCAGGTAGGAAGACACGCTTTAATATCATTATATACATAAATAATTCTGACACTATAAATGAATCTATTCCCTATGTGTATGTTTCAGTGGACTTCATTAATTTGCTGCACGATATATTTAAAAATGGTTCTATCTGCGAAATTAAAATAGCTGGTTCTATGTTATGGTCTTTGGTTGTCAACAATCAGAAAGGAAAACTAATTGCACGGAGCGCCGGTTTTTCACAAAGCATTCAAGAAGCATTAGGCAGACTTACGTTATTATCTATGGATGACAGAAAACAAGAACAGGAGTCTGTGAAAATGTTACAATATGTATTGAGAATTTTTAGCCCAATAGAGACTATAACGATCGAATAAGATAATGATTAAGTAAATCAACTATGGCGATGACTGATAAACATAATTGTACATAGAAATAGATTTTATTCTGTTATTATTCTGTGAATAATTCTAATGAAATGTGTAATACTTCTCTTACTGAAATCACAGATGAAGTAATATTAACATAAATTTACTGTAACAATATTTTAATTTTTATAGTGTAACAAAAAAAAAGAAATTTATTCTGAAAAATATACTGTATATTTTTCATAAATATCATAAGTATTTTGCAAAATATCTGATAATAAAAATGATTTAATCTACATTTCAAGGGAAGATACTTTTAGGGCTCGCATTATTTATAATTCTCAATTCCTATTGCGTAATTTATTCTTAATAAAATTTAAAATTTATAGTAAAACATGTAGAGTCAGACGTATTAAATTGCATGCTTAGGCTAAAAATTACGATGACATCTACTTCTCAAGTTTCATTCGCACGTGTCCGGCGATTGAAGACAATACGGTTTAACTTTTGTGATGGCGGAATCTTGCATTACGCGTTAATTAATTAAAACGACATTCAACAGTTGACCAAACGGCGACAAACAGTTAGAATCGAATTTCAGAAGCAGATAATCCTAGGTAGTGTTGTATCTTGCATAACAATTTGCTTTTATATTTTATAAATGATTTTCAATCACAAAGTGTGTTAACGAAATTTCCGTGGAGATTTGTCAGACACCCTGTATATTTAAACCGGACTAAGGAAGACATTTTTACAAAAAGTGATACGAGTGCGTTTCGTGTTGAACAAAGAATGGAAATCGAGAGAGCGTCTTTAGCAGACTGTTGCTCCGCACCATCTGCCTCGCGGTCGTTCGTTTTTTGTGGCTAGTGACGCACGTAGATATTTACAAAAAACTATAATTTATGCATGGGTAGTTATTACTCAAGAGTAGAAGTTTCATAATTGATGGAATGCATAAGGTTAATATTCTTCCTCTAATATTTAACTAAGAAATGCGCCTGTTTTCCTCAATTTGTTACCAAGCAGGAAATGCCGTTGATGTTCTAATTGCTCGTTGGGATAATAAGTGTCATAAACGTTAAATCGCAAAATGCTCGTAACTAATACAGCTATTGAAGACGTTTTCCCCTTGTAATTTTAATGACATTAAAAAATGTTCAATGATCTGTCTGATAAAAAATTACCTGCATGATGATCGTTCCTTTTATAGTTACAATAAAAACTGCAACAAGAAACGCAATTCAACGGCTAAACCTGCTGAAAATTGAATAATGCTGATGTAAATATTGATTTACTATTGTGAGTAAACATAAGAAAAGGAGAATACTTTATAATATCACAATTAGTGATATGATTACTTGCAATAGCCTAAATAATCAAATACAAATTAATTATCTTTGTAAAAATGTAATAAAACCTCCTAAAAAAACCTTAATTAAAATCAATGAAATCCCCAGCCATATGGATTCGCTTCAAATATTACATATTCATGAATCTGTATGATCGTTATTAATTCCCACTGTGAATTTCTTTCTGAATCGATGGGGAGAGAGAGAATTGATGTTCAGTAAAAACCAAAATAAATTAATAACTTTTGAACGGATGACATAGTTTGAGACGGAGGAGGGGGAGATTTTATCGATCTTAAATAAGAGTCTAGGCTATTTTGGAATATGAATTAAATTTCAGGTATAAAGTATAGGTATGGCTTTTGCAAAAATAAATTTAGAAAATCACCAGCTTCTGGACGGTGATGACCAGTTTCATGAACGAGAAAATACAGTTTATTAATACAGTTCCAGTAATTGAGCGCGAGTTTATGGTAAAAGTACGAATCACTGCGCATAAACCTTGCAAAGGATGTATCATTCGAGTATTGATCAAAGCGAACAGTTCTTTGGCTGTTTTCGAGAATTACGACCAGTGCAGGTGTCGCTGGGCATGACTGTGATGTCAGAGAAAATATTGCTCGGCAGAGTTACCACGCGTCTTCCTTTTACGGGACCGTGGTGGATCCGGTTTTTGCGAACCATGGCGAACTTCTGAGCGTGAGAATACGTACGTCATTCTCCGAAGCTCAGGCAGCGCGCCAAATGCTCGACATCCGAACGGAAATATTCAGATCTCGACCAAAACTTCGATAGTTAAAATGTCGATAAGCAAAATTGCATTTTGTGTGGCCTTCTGGCTGGTGGAGTCGTTGGCCCCCAATTTTTCAAAATGAAGATTTGAATTGTCTTGCATTTTATGTATAGTGACATTGAGATAAAACAGCACTACTTCGCAGTTTCCATTTTGTTCGTTCTTATTGGAAACCACGTTATTAGTTAACTTTCCAAGTGTCAATCTCAATGACAATGAATGCACCGTGGGCCCTCAGGCAGTGGAAAAGAAATATGAGCAACTTTTTCTAGACAAGGCACTCTTGTGCAACGTTCCTGCAGAGTCTGCACGAAGGACGAAAGCATCAGACTTATGGAGGTTACACGTTTCGAAAACCACCCTAACAAATCACCCTTACCTTTGTACTCTATAAGAATATTTACTTGTGGTTGAGGATACTTACCAACAAATCGACAGTGTGGCTAATCGTCATGTTTTCACACTATCTTAGTACTGAGACGTTTTTGGAGGGATAACCTTAACCCTAAAACAACTAAACGAAGAAATCAGACTTCATACAAAAGACGAAATCCATTCCCAGATTGAGAACCACTGTATCGAAGTGTTTGGTGGGCAAACTAAGCAAAAGTAAACATCAAAATAGAAAGTATTAATAATAATGCGTAATACGCCGAGAAGATGTCGGTTGAACGAACATGGCGACGGTGATACGTCTCGAATAATAGGTCTCGCGAACTCTGTGGGAGCTGGTCAAACCCGACCGAAGAACGAAACGGCTGATCTGAGACGAAAGCGTTGGTAGGAACCGATTGGTATTCGAGGGACGTTCGATCCGTTCGTGGTTAATTGGCTATTATTTGGTAGCGTGGGTGGGCCACGTTATGCATTCTGTCCTTTCGGGCCTTCTCGAGCGAACGAGCGAACTAGGCGCATACGTGCACGCACGGAAGAACGGATTTAATGAAAGGTTGCGCGCGGCGCGCGGTAGGTATTGTGTTCCAGCGCGGCGGGTCACGTGACTGTCAGATGGATTTGCGTCAATGGTGACCTCCGCGTTCGCGTATCCGCCGTTCCCGCGCCCCGCCGTTCCGCATATCCCATGGGCCCCGCCGAGGGACCCGTGGGACCAGCGCATACGGAGACGAGGTAAGAAGACCTGCCTTGTCTGCTCGACTGCCATGAAAGGCCAACGCCGAGGGAACCGAACGCCGAGCATCGGGAAACTGGGAACCGCAACGGCGCGTTATCCTACGGGGAAAAAACGCATCTAAGCCAGGGGTGCCCAAAGTTTATCGACTGCGCACCACTCTGCGCCGTCTGGCTCGACCGACGCCGCGTTCTGCCAGCGATACCTAACCCTTCGAGTGCTGCGCGCATACGCGTCCTACGAAAGCAATTTTTTCGATATTTTTACTGCAATATAATTATCAGTATTTTAAAAACAAATTTCGCGATTCAAGGATAAGGTGTGTTGTAAATTTTATCGAGTAAAGTAATTACATTATAACTTGCGCCTCGTGTATCAACAGAGTTCACACTGGCGTACAGTCACCATCTTTAGCGAGCACTTTGATCACGAGTATTCAGTACTCAAAGGGTTAACAGGGTTTTTTGGTTCTGGGGGACGAAAGAAAGCACCTTCTCAAGTTATATTTTTTTGAAGAAACCGTAAGACCTTTTCTTCGTCGAGCGTTAGAGACTGCAGTATATGCGCGGAACAATGGTTCGAATTAAAACAGTTGGCGTCGCGAAGGAAACGGCGAAGGCACGAATACGACCGTTGAGTGCGGCGGCCATGTTGGCGTTCTAGACTCGAGCCATGTCGCTTTGAAGTTACATGCCCGTGTAACAGTATTTTTTAGATCTAATCTCGCTTCTTTACTACCGTGTACTACTAGAACTTTAATGTTATAATATTGTCGACATATAGTATGAGGAAACTAATGCACTTTAAGATGCATTTTAAGACTGCTGTTGATATTCATAATAAAATTATGTTACCACATAGGGGTAACATTTTTCACTGAAGAGCTAAATTAATTCTCAAGATTAGATGTTAAAAAAAATAAATCTAGATTGATAAAAATAAGTTCTACGACAAATTGTGCTAGCATCCGATCGTCTAAGAACAAAGCTTCGTTTTCGCGGACAATTCGAGGGGTTTGGTCCGGCAGTGAAGGTATTAATATCGAAACGAGGAGGTTTCGGAGGACCGAGGCCAAGAACTACAATCGTATCCCCAATTTGCGTACGTTCTGCATAAACATGCGCAATCGTTTGCTTGTTCTATGATCCCATTAGCGTTCCTGCGGCTCTTTCTTGTTGTTTCGGCCATGGGCGCGAAGAAACTGTGACAGCAATAATACACGCGCAAACCGTGACGCACGAATTTCGTGTACCAACGAACGACGAGAACGAGGATACACGTTTCTCTTACAATTTCATTGGATTACATTGGGGTCTTTCCGTTTCTACTCTCGTGGAATCCAAGGTTGCAAGGTTTGTCACTTCTCGTTGTCTTCGTCACCGACTCCCGGTGCAATTGTTGTCTTACCTCTTGTCTCGTCGAACGCGTTAACGTGCAACACTGACAAATAAATTATTTCTTTAAAACTGAAAGTCATAAAATATTTTAATATTCGTATTTTCTATAGGCATTAGAATACTTTGGAGACACTTAGTTGTTCATTGATTTCAGGCCCAAAAATTTTCCATTCCACTGTTCTAAACAGTTCTTAACTCGAAAAAGAATCACTATATTAGCGTTTCTATAAAACTGGCTAAACAACTACGCTGGAAAAGTAAATAACTCCGAATGAGAGTAACTTTTCCTTTTCTTTAAATATTAAGAAATAAAAGAAAGTTGCTCGAAATAACAAACC